AACATCCTCTGACAACACTCACACCAGTCTGACAACATTCACAACCCTGACAATAATCATAGCACTCACATCACTCTCTGGCAACATCCACAATACTCATACAACATTGACAACATCCTCTGACTTACATTTTTGGCCATCTTGCTGCTGTTGGTGGTGTTGAACGCGTCGTAGGTAGGCAGTGGACTGTTGTTATTCACTTAGGTCACCTCTTTATATACTTCTCCATCCTCTTCCCCCATTGGTCACGCCGCTTCTCTGCCACACCTGCCATGTCACGCCGCTCTGTCTTCTGATTGGCCACGCCTGTCCTGACATGCCGCTCTACTTCCCCATTGGTCACACACTTCAAGATACGCAGGTCTCGGGCTGACGTTTCACCGCAGGCAACATCATCTTGTACTTGTCTGTTTAATGATTGTCAAGTGAGATGTTTTACCAGATGAGTTATTTACAGCTCAGGTAGATGACTGAAAGATTAATTTACATTTCACGTGAGCTTTAGTTGGCTGCAGGAAAGACTCAAATCAAACCTAACCGAATTTCACCTCTCTTAACCTAACATATCCTAACGTCACCTCACCTAACCTAACCTAATCCCATTTCACCATACTGTTGCTTTTGTATCAAAGAAAAAAAATCAAAATGTTACCCCAATAAATGTTGCTAGCACAACCAGGCAGAAATAAAACTATGTTTAATATGGGGTGATTGTTCAGTGTTCCTTTGGTTGTATTTTATTTTTTATTTTAAGTTGGGAATTTTTTTTTAGGCTAGGGAGTTGGACCACAAGATTAGACACCAAACTTCTTCCACCTGATAATAAAATACATTAACGCTACCTGGGGATTAGATTGGCATCAGGGTAGTTAATCTTAAGGTGAAATACAGTAATTCGGGGTGACGGGAGCGCGGGGTGTGCTCTCTTCTCACCGGATATGGACCCGCCAGCAGGAGGTTGGGTTGGCCGTAGACTTCCGAACTGGTCAAGCTCTACTTGCAGTGAATTGCAAGGACTCTTAGATGCAGTCGATCTCCTTCAGAAGAGATTAAACAGTGTGATCATATGTGATTCTCAGTCTGGCCTCCAGGCCCTCTCCTCCCCTAAGCCTTTATGCCTTCCTTTAATTCAACATATGTTACGTCTAATAGCTTTAGCCCATGATAATTATCCTGTTATCCATTTTTGTAGATTCCATCTCATGTAGGAATAGCAAACAATGACACTATTAATCTTCTGGTTAAGAATGCCTGTGGACTGGCCCTCCCTGGTGATGGGGCTAATAGTGAACGGGCTGAGAGTGTATTCATCCAACATTATGATCATTTTCTTCCTTATCCACGACGTGGACTTATGGTCCGCAGGCATAATGTTGTCTATGCACCCATTAGGTTAGGATACAGACCTATCTGGCAAGTATCTGAGGCGGGGGATGACCCGCACTTCTCTTCCTGTAAACTTTGTAACTGTCCCAACGCTAACACCCTTCAACACTATTGCCTTAACTGTCCCACTGTCAGAGACCTCCTACCACAGGAAGAATCACCACCTACTTATACATAATAATTTGGATATAATTCTCGTACGCTACCCACGCTTTGGTGGGTGATAACTCCCATTGTCTTCAGCTCACCACAAATGTCTCCATATCACAAGTCATAGCGTGACCGCATGGTATTGTGACAAGGCTTGTCGCCCCCTGGGGCGTTATAAATGAATTAAATAATAATAATAATCCGGGGTTTATTCAGTAGAAGTTTATCCAAGTACCAAGGTGCTCTCCTCCGTCTGGTGCTGAAGGTCTGCTTGGCTGGCTGCGAGTTTTTTTGTTTTGTTTTTGTGGTGGTTGTGTCCAGTGTCACAGGAAATTGAGGAATGTGGGCGTGCCAGGGCGTCTCCTCCCTCTCACTGGCTGTCTTTCACTTACTCCCTCTGTCAAAGACTCGTTTATTGCTTGCCTGCCTGCCTCTCACTTCATACCTCCTCTCTCTCTCTCTCCCGCCCCCCTTCTGCCACCCTTTTTACTCCTATTCCCCTCCCACCCCTCTCACTATCCTTGATCTATCCCACTCACTATACTTGATCTTCCATCCCTCTCACCGTGATTGCTCTCGTTATTTCTTGGTAGTTTCAAAATAAAGGTAAATAGTCACGAGAGCATAGATAGTTTATTTAAATGGATAGCAAAGTGCAGATCATTTAACCTTTTAAATGTGTTTGGTCACCCCCACCTGGCCACCAGTGTTAGCGGTTCACTGCCAGTCTCTGCCACCAAGTGAAAGTGGACCTGATCCACTGAAATTCGTTTGATCGAGAGATTCGCTTCACTTGTGGGGTGTCACGATGGACCTCTCACCCTCCATCGCCACCCACACGCTCAACACCATAAAATGTATTTATTTCTATTCCAGATACAGTGCACAGTAGTGGCTCGACCAGTTAATAACCTGATAGATGGTGGTGAAGGTTAGTTTAAGTACGAGGGTGTTTGTTCAGGATCAGAGCTGACAACGATTAAAGATTCAATACATTAGTTTTTTTCAAGAGAAGGTCTTTAATTATGGCAGGTTATCATTGCATTTTTTATGATGTTGTGTTCGTCATCTTAATGAAAATGAAAGTGGGTTCCATGGGCCTGACTTTCCATTAGAGGCTGTGGACACAGCACACTATAGACTTAAGCCTTTATTTGGTACACAAGTAAACATTGTGGCAAGCACTGCACTTGACAGCCTTTACTTTCTCCAACTGTAAAATTAGGTACCCAGTCACAGCTAGGTGAACTTGGTGGTGCCCTTAGGGGACATCAGCTGTACTAAGGACAGGAGGCGAGCTCTGCATTTACTCAAATATCCACACCTTGTTGTCGTAATGCTTTAGTTTAAACTTAGCCACTTAGATGCATTTTTAATCTACAAATCACGGGGAGACTGAACTCACGATCATTTGACATTCTGGCTCCAGAACTTCATCCCTTTGTATGACAGTAATCAGTTTTAAGTTGGCTGGGACCACTACCACTACCACACACTGCCACATTACTTCACCTCTCACCTGGCACAACACACCATAAAAATTCACTTCGATGTGGCATTTTTCTGGTTTCACTTCACTTGATTATGATATAAAAATACCTATTCTGAAGGTTGATAACAGAATGTTATGTATACCACTGATCATACATACCTACGTAAATAGACGAACATTCTGGGCAGGTGAAAATTAAACCATGCTGGGAAGAAACAGTGTTTTCTCATTTACCTGTAATTGTGAGGTCAATTGCACCCAGGCTCTTAGGTTCCCAGTCTCTTACCCTATTAGGGCAAAGCAATATTATTAGCTCAGAATTCTGTACTTTTCCTCCTGGTTTTTCTCTGAGCTTACTGCTATCCTTATTACTGCTGCACTCTTGGTGACACAGATAGAGGCCAGGGTGGAAGCATATGTGTAATCCTACACAAGCTGATTACCATCTTCGAAGGGAGTAGCATGCCTCCAACTGGACACTTGTCGTATCTGTAGATCTGCGCTTCCCTGTGCAAACTCCTTTTGATGATACCATTAACTTCATTTTAAGAACATAAAAATGAAGGAAACTGCAGCAGACCTATTGGCCCATAGAATGCAGCCTCGTCTACACCCAACCCCTCATTCATACATCTGTCCAACATATACTTGAAGCTACCCACCCTTTGGGACCCAACAAATGAAGTCCTGGCTGCCATGTTGGTCTGCCCACTCATTGTTGCAGATGCACTTATTAACCGTGTGGATCAAGATGCAAAATGAAGGGCTACTTTATCATGGAGGGCATGAGGTGCCCAGTAGGAGGCACCCAGTATGAGGGGCTTGTCCCAGTGGGTTTGTTGGGATGCTTATCATGTTGCTTTAGATGTAAAGGTCGCCCACTGAATGGTTGCCTTTTTGATACTTGGATAATTTTACTGTCAACCAGTTCGTTTGATGCTATGCAAGCACTTGCCCAGCCCCTGTACATCAAACCAGGGATAAACTTTTATGGAAAACACTGTATATTCTTTTGCTCCCTTTTCAACGTGCCTCAGTACTAGCAGCTCATATGCACAAAATTCCCCAAGTTCATCTGTATGACATCAGTTATTGCGTCTACTCTTCTTTGACATCAATCAATGCATTTTTTCCGTTCCCTTTTCATTATATAATTTCATCCTAATAATTTTACTTGGGACTTCTCCAGGTAAAATTGTTCAAATTTTTATAAAAATTCTGTGTTCCCATATTTAAAATCATATTCCATCCAACTACATCCTTTCAGTCTTGATAATTACTGTATCACAGGAGTTATCCCACACCACCATATATCATACCCCTCATCACCCACGCTTTTACAAACTCACAATATCTACTTATTTTGCATCTTTTCATGATATATGTAGTACAGTACTTGTGTATTATATATTTTACCTTTCTCTGCTTCTTCAGTACTTCCACCCCTGTAAAGTACTCTGTATGATAGGAATACTGAACACTACACGATACCTTTTCATCACCTCACTAGCTGGCGCACTCTTGATCTGACTATGTTATGCATTACATCATTTATATTTTTTGTCATCAGTTAACTTGATTGAAGTTAAATGCAATGGTATCACTTCAATAAATCCCCAAACTAGTAATACTATATGTTTATTCTTTTCTTGTATTAATAACACTTTTATTTAATGCCTTAACCTATGCAACTGTTACCATTTATTTTTCTTATAAGATCTTTCACAACAGTGGATGAAAAGGTATTTGTGTAGGATATTTACTAGATGAGCAGCAGTTCATAAAGGAAAATGGTAGTTCTTCCATATTGTAAGGATGGAAGTACTGTACTGTAGTTCCAATTAACAAATAAAATCCTACAACTTATAGCTTTGAAGTACTGTACTGCAGACAAAAGTGAATATCAAGTCTGTAGTTATTAAATGCAACCATGTTAACCACTGACCAAGTCTCATAGGAATTAAAAGAAAGATTTATTTTTCAATATATTTATGACACACTATTACAATTTATGTTGACAAGATCAACAAAATTTATTATGATAAAAATGTTTGCACTGGCAACATTACAGTTTGGACTTAGAGGTCTTAGAGATGGGCATGAAGGGTCTCATTAGAGGGTACAATGCCAGACCTTGCTTGAATTCTGGAATGTCCATTATCAAATCCGTCTGCAATGAAGAAAACTTATTACTAAAGTAAGAACATATTAAATCATTTTGCTTAAAAAAATCTATTATCTACCATAAATGAATGTATTGTGGCTGGTACCATGCAATGGCCTGACTTCTTACAATAATACCAAGCTATTTCTCTCATAAACTTCAATTGTGTAAATAATTCCAGGATTTTGAAGTGTTCATGAATGACTAATTTCACAATTTCAATCTCATGGGCTATAACGAATGGATTCTACTACGAATATTCCTATAACGAACAGTTTTATCATGAAAAGATGCAAAATAAGTAGATATTGTGAGTTTGTAAAAGCGTGGGTGATGAGGGGTATGATATATGGTGGTGTGGGATAACTCCTGTGATACAGTAATTGTCAAGACTGAAAGGATGTAGTTGGATGGAATATGATTTTAAATATGGGAACACAGAATTTTTATAAAAATTTGAACAATTTTACCTGGAGAAGTCCCAAGTAAAATTATTAGGATGAAATTATATAATGAAAAGGGAACGGAAAAAATGCATTAATTGATGTCAAACAAGAGTACACTGCTTCGAGTATGGCAACAAATCATGTGATGATGCATTGATAAGTGTTAGAGGAGATGGATCTCTAGAGGCTAGAGTAAGTTATAACAGGAAATATATACAGGGAGTCTCATGAGTTATTAAGAGGTTACGTTTCTGGACCCTGTTCGTAAGTCAAAACAGTGTTAATTCCATAGGTTAGGTTAGGCTAAAACATAACTCTGAACAACAATAATATCCCATTTATAACAAATATTGCAAAGACCTATAAATAAAGTAATGTTAAACAATATGATGTAAAAAATATAAATTAATTACAGATTTTTTTTATGAATATACAGTAGGGTCACCACTTTTGTTGTATCTACTTTTGTGATTCACTGGTTTCGCAGTGGGGTGCAAAAACCCCAGTCATTCTTTTTTGCGGAGTTGCTCACCACTTTTGTGTCGGATAAGCCCAAATATGACTGTGCGCATCTTGGCCCTGACACTCAAACCAGTTTTTCCTCATCTGAACTGCGTAACAGACCACAAAAAGTCATCTACAATACTCAAGTGAGTGCCCGCCATCAATCTTTTATCATAAGCTTTCTAAGGTGAGAACCAGCAGCTGCCTTGTGAGACATGAATGTGGATGAGGCAGATGACGGGACATTGGATGAGGTGTTACAGCATGAAGACTTAAACTTTGAAGGCGACGGGGATGAGTTGCGAGATGCAGCAGCTGGTAGGGGTGCAGGGGGAGAGTAGGGGAGAGAGGAGCAGAGGGGCCAGTAATGATAGCACCCTGCTTCGGATCACATAAGACAGTCACATCAAGCTGTTCATTGATTGTGTTAAGGTTGGTACTATACTGTACAGTACTGTATATCACCTGTACTTGATATATGAGTGTGTCTGAATAAGTGGTTTTAATTTTTAGGGGTGGTTATAGGGGGTTATTGAGGTGATGAAATGGCAGGACAGGTACCAACTGATCATTTAACACGAACACATCACTCACCACTTTAGCAGCAAAAATTACGTTGTAAATTAGGCATGAAAGTGGCGAGCCTACTGTACAGATATCCCTTGCTATACGAATGCTCTAGATATGAAAATTCACTTTTATGAATTTCTTAAATTACCACATATTTTTCATGTTACGAAGGCTTACTGTATATGAATTTGAGTCCCAACAAAAATATATATTGTGCGCCCCCAGGAGTCGGCTACATCCCTCTAGCGCTCTCCCTACCAGGCTGAGGTAGGAGTTATTGCACTTCACTTTTTCATAGCAGTGAAAATGTAGGAGAAGCATTCAGGTAACAACCATTGTAAAACTGATCGTAGCCATCACAAAGCGGTAAAAGGTGTGAATATTTTAACACTGTTAAACTGAGTGACTGTATTTAGATCCATCGTATAATGGTCAACACCTGTACTACAAATGGAGAAGAATGGATGGAACAAGTTATCAAATTTACCTCTCTGAGTGGGGGTGGACGGGAGAGGCCATCATCAGGCTGGGTTGTGTTTGGCTGAGAAGCTTCCAGGTCTCCTGCTCCTCCAGTGGCAGTGGACACTACCTGCACTGACATCTTTTTGCGCTGAATTGCTGTGCTTCCAATACAGAGCTGTTGGTGAATAGAATTATTATAACTCAAGAAATTAACATTAAATGGGAAAAAAAATTAGGAAAAACCTAATTGATTACTTATAATGTATACAAGCTCGCATAAAATGATTTTAATGCTTTGACAATACTGTGATGAGAAAGGTATATAAAAATAAATAGATGGAGTCAAATTTGTAATACATACTGTAGTATGTGTAGAGAGAAAACAAGTATCACTTAGGTTATGTACCAGAATTTTCCTTAAAATAATTACAGTATATCATTGAATGTGGGATTACTTAGCACAATGATTTCATGGATATTATTAACCTTGTAAAAATCTATCACATCCTGCTTGGTGAGAGTCTTTAGGTGTGCCACTTCACAGGCATCTCGGTCAAAGTGGTACTGGTTGGATGTTATCTCCACCCACCAATTGGCAGTGAGATGAGATAATTTCTTTGGACGTTCGAGACGACGGCTTGCCAGGGCTTCACGATGACGCAAAAAATCCTCTTCTGATAACTTCTCAAGATTTTCCTATAAGAAAATGAATTTTATAGTTTTCTTTAAATTTGTGTAAAACAATGCAAACAGTACTTGTATAGCAGTCCATATGGTGTGGGTAGGAACTCATTTTACTTTCACCAATTTACAGTAGACAAGTTTTGCCTTGGTCAAATAACTTTTTTTTCTCTTATTTGATATACAGAAGCCAAGGGTTAATTTGCAATGAAATGGTCTGTGAATTTTCTTAAAATAAAATGTCACAATTAAGAGTGAGGCGATCCTATGCTTTGATTTGTGAGTGATTTTTTTTTGTGCTACCAGTATGCTTATTAATTTCAATAACTATATCTCGTTATTGAGGTATAGGATGCACAGAATAAGACATACAGAAATAAATAGGACATGTGGAAGTGAAAGAAGTGTCGAGCAGAGAGGAAATACAGGTCAAATGAGTGGATAATTCAGAGGTGGATGGTGGGAAGCAGAGAGCACAATCAAGCAGATGAAAGGATGTGGTTGTGAAGGGTTTAAATATTCAGAAAGCAACAGTGTGTTTGTGTGTGTTGAAAGCATAGCATCAAGTGATTTTTGGGGAAGGTCATGTTTTTGGTTGGTGATGCTGGCTTGTGGGACGAGACATGGGTAAACCAGATTTAAAGCCTTGTTATGGATGGTGAGCATCATAGTAGAACACATTTACATTCATAAGAATAAATAAACAGGAAATGGGTATGTGAATTTGTGTATATTTGTTCATTTCTGGCCACTGCATTAATTGAAGATTAGATAAAAAAATTGATACTTACTCCCATTTTGTGTAGGAAAGCTTCTACTCTGGAATCTAGATACTGTGGGTGACGATCTCCCTGCACTATGACTCTTAGACCCTGTGTACCATTTGCTCGACGGATCCCACACCACACAATGTATCCAAGTTGTTCCTGTGAAATATACATACTGAATTAGCTTTATAATTTAACCAATACAGTATAAGAAATGAGAGGTAGTTAAGTTTTTAAAAACTTTATTTAAGATTAAATCTGCATTAATTTAGTTAATTTCTCAGTGAGGAGGTTATTGTCCTCAGTAAAAGGGTGTGTTAAGGTCCCAAGTTTTGATGCAAGTACATAAAACACTGTGCCAACTCCTAAGATCAATTGATCATTAAATTCAAAAGTTTAAAAACTTCTGTAATTGAACTATGTTCGTTTTATCATGTTTAAATATCTAATTCTGATCTTACACAAAATTTAATAAGTTGATTAATATGGTAGAGGGAAGAGAGAATAATTTAACAATCTTTGTACCTTTGTTCTTAGTTCATCAAAGGCTGGTTCAGCAAAAATCTGACAAAGGAGCTCCAGCAACATGTTATGGTGGGTGCTTTGCAACCCACATTGAAAGTAGGTTTCAACCGAGGAGCTACGATGAACATTATTGTCAGCTAAGTACACCAAGCTGCACCCTGAAAAATTACTGAATGTTAAAAGGAAAGTCATCATAACACTGACAAAGATGATAAACAAACTCGGCATAAACTTGAATCTGTCAGCCTACAACAATATATAATTTAAAGTATAAATGTGTTACAGCACTAATGCACAGCACTAGAATATTCCATATCTAGAAATGACAACACAGGACTAAAAGTGTCATGAAGCTACTGGAAGGACTCCTATGGTCACCACTCAAAAAATTTTGATGGGAGATTAATGTTATACAGTACAGTGGTTCCTCGGTTAACGAACGGTTCGATTAACGAAATTCAGTTAACAAATTAGTTCCCATAAGGACCTTCAATTCGGTTAACGAACAAAACTTTGATTAATGAAATCCTTACGAAAAACACGTTTTGTTGTGAGCATCAGCTGATCAGCTTGTCCGCCACTACAGTAATCGGTTCTATGTTTACATTCGTTTCCAGTGGAGTTAATATCAAGAATGTTGTGCTCTTTAATGTTTTAGCATTTTTTATATTAAAATTATTATTCATTTTAAAATTTAGTTAACATATTGATATGATATGCAGTACAGGGAACCAGTTTTTTGTGCGCCCATCAGCCGCTTGACTCACCCGCCAAAGCAACAGTTTAACTTTGTTTACAGTGGAGGAAACATCATGTTTGTTGCTCTCTTGAATACAGAGTATTTTTAAGTTTTTACATTAAAATTATTGGTCATTCTGAAATTTAGTTAACATATTGATAATATATAGCGTAGTGCAGTGTTGATTTAAATAAAATTATCTGTAATTACAGCTAGTGAACTTAAAATTTTATTGGTGAAATTACTGCATCAAGCATGGGTTTAAAGAAAGGCAATTTCTCCTCCATCCCCACTTCCTTCTCTTCTCCCTTCTCCTCCTCCACCCCCCACTTCTAATTCCCATCATCATCATCATCATCAACCAGTAACATTCTACATACACACCTCAAAGTAAGTGTACTTTACTGCATTTTGTTTATACTTTGTATGTACTTTTCTGTGAGCTGGAACCAATTACCCAATATCCCATTGAAATAATGGATTTGGTTAACAAAATTTTCGGTTAATGAACGACTCTGTGGAACGAATTGTGTTCGTTAACCGAGGAACCATTGTATTGTAAACTAAGGTACTGTAATCCGAGTTCACCCAGTATGCTTGGTATGGTTATTAAGTAAGCATATCAACAGATGGATGGACATGTAAAAGGGCAATGACAATGCTGAAACTAAATATATACTATATAGATAGATAATGTGTGTGTAAGTGTAAAAAAAAGTTGTCAGTCAAGTGACAGTGTAACACATACTGTATTTCAAAAGAAGAACTTTAACTTGCCTAAGTGTTAGGTAAACTTTAATGTTAACCAAAGAAAACTCTCACTCAAGTTTTGCTCTTTTTTTTAACCCCTGGCTAAATATCTACTTCCTTTATAATTACCGGTATATAAACTTAAAATGACTATACAAATCCTAACCCTCCTTTAGATGGGGGAGTCTGAGCTGCTCTTGACTTACCTATCCTACATTGCTGTGGGATGGGGTTTATAAAAGAGAGAGGAGAAAAACATGTAAAAGTCAATTGATCCACTCATGGAATATCACTACTTTCGTATAGAACTGTTCAGTAGATGCTCCAAAATTTCCCGCTATCTGTGATACAAATGATTAATATGGTGACTAACTGTTTATAAAATTATATATTGGTACCTTTTGTTTAAATGAGGTATAAAGTATACTGAATAAAATTCAGTACAATTTACAGCTTCAGAAAAGATATAATAATAAAAAAATAAAATAATAAAAATATCCAGAAAGAAAAATCATAGCATTTTAAAGGTACAGCATCATTAAGTATGAGATTTTGCACCAAATTTTCCAATAAATTTTGATACAAATCAGGCAGATTCCACATTAAACATGCATACTTGCCATCCCTGAGCTGGTATTCCCTTTGTCTCGTGAGCTGTGAAGGCAGGAGTGCCCGGGTCTGACAAGAGGTTGTCAGCTTGTCTTGGATGGTGGAGGCCAGTGTTAATGCAGATTCTTTCAACATGTTTCCATGAACCAGCATCTCAATATGAAGTGCAGACAAAAATCGAGGAATAAATGCCTCCAGACTCTCGACTGTCATCTCTGTAGAATAAACAGTATGCCAAAAAACTAAGTACATTATGCATGAAGATGATTCTACAAATAATTAATACAACTGTAGTACAGTAGTGAAACTAAAGTTTGTAATGTACAAAGTAAAGAGGTATTAAAAGACCCGAACAGTGAAGAAATATTACCAAAACTCAAGTGATTCCACGGAATTGGATTAGAAAAAAAAAATAATACAGTAATAATAATCTAGATGAAAAAATCTTCTCTGCCTACATGTATAGAAGAACCATTCAAATGTTTTCTGTTGTATCAATACTTGCATATACAGACTTACATCATGTGTATACACCGTGACAAGTACAGTGTAGTTCAGCTGATGAATATGTGAGACATGAATGACGAATAAAGGCAAAATGTTCCCGCACTGACGAGTTTGTGAAATGACGAGTAAAGGGGAGATGGATGAATATTGAGGACTAATTATAGAATCTAAATGGAGGTTTCACTCATCGGTTTCACTGTAGCTCTCTAGTGGTGCACAATGTCCCCATCATCTGCACTGTTTTTCATAAACTGTAATTTGGTTCTTGTGATCCTATCTTCTTCTGACTCCCTTGCTTTCCAAATTTTCTTTCCCTTTCTCCCTAAATTTACTTTCTACTAACTTTATACCTAAGAGTGGTGAACCTCATTCATACCATACTCATTGTAGTTTCTCTGTTGCTTGCTTCTGGTTCCATTTAAAGTACTATAAGCTAAGAAAAGTTTCAGGATGTGATATGTGCACCTGAGGGAGTGAGTTCGGTCAACAAGCAAAGTGTTTAAGGATCAATTTAACATTCTTGTATTTCTTCACAAAACATTGAAGGCCTTACAAGATATCAACAGATACATCCTAACAAATAGTAATAATGAAAGAATTGAAGATGAGTTCAGAGGTTTGAAAAGTAAGGACCTTGCTAAAAGTATTAACCATTAAAATATGTAATAGGAAACTATAAGGCTCTAGGTGTGATAAAGGATCATCTACTCTATAGCATGCCACTGAAACACAAATCTAGAAACACTGATTCCAAATTAGCCTTTTCTTTAGGGTAAGTGGGAGCCAAGGAGATGATTTTCTGATAACTTTTCTTTTCTATGATAGAACCTAATCATGTTACATTTGCCACTCGAGTTGTTTAGCCAAATATTATTTACGCTTCCTTTAATGGACTGGAATAATTTACACACAGTATATCCAGCAGGTGAACCTAAAGCTGGCTTGGGATATCCTTAGCCCCCACCTTCAAGACTGGCCCTGACTGTATGTGTTGACATTTTAAATGGTTTACGGTTTTAAATGCATGTTTGAAATGATAAAATGGGTAGACAGGGAAAGGCAAAACTACAAAGGAATACATATATTAGGCCTGATGATGACAGTACAATACAATGAAAGTCTTGGGCAATATATAGCAAAAGATGGAGTGCTGATGAGGCTTTGAGGTAAAGAGGGAAATAAAATCATAAAGACTGTACAGTAATACCCCGATTTACGCTTTACGCGGTCAATTGAACCCGCGGAGGTCGCGTAAAACGAGAAACGTGTAAATGGAATAACAGAACATATGGGATTAATTGAAATAGAGACTGGGCCGACTCCCAAACTCCACTTTTTCCGACACAATACCTATGTTGTAGTAAAAATATCTTAATTTTATGATGGTATGCACACACAATTAATATTTAAGAGAAATACAGTCACCAGGTTAATGTCCATTCAAATAATGGACTCAACTCCCCCCCCCCCTCTTCCCACGCTTGCTGGCTCCTCCCCCTCTGAGAAATGTTTGAGTGAAAACACTAGATTTTAAGGTTTAGTAATAAATAATACCTCAAACTAAAGTTAGGATAATATAATTGACATTCCTGGATTCCTTGCAAGACCAGGAATATTTTGAATATACACGTCATATATTTTGCACAAAGGCTAACATATTTGCTCTGTGTAAACAAAATTCTTACATTAGATCTAAAATTTGTATGTCTAATGCAAAATCTATGATGTTTATATTCAAAATGATCATCATATTGTAAGAATTCCAGCAATGTAAATTATATTCTGGCCAGGTAATTTGTATGAATTTTATGAGCTAAAACAAATGTCTTCAGTAAATAAAAAAATATACTTCACCCAGACATTATCTGTCAATCAAAATACCCCACCCCCGGCTCCCCCGCTCGCTGGGTCCCTCCCTCCCTACCCCCCACCCCCACCTTCCCTCCCTACCAGAGAAATGTTTGGGTTAAAACAGTATATTTACATTTTTAGTAATAAATAATACCTCAGACTAAAGTTAGGATAATATAATTGACATTGCTGGATTCCTTGCAAGACCAGGAATATTTTGAATATACACGTCATATATTTTGCACAAAAGATAACATATTTTCTCTGAGTAAACAAAATTCTTACATTAGATCTAAAATTTGTATGTCTAATGCAAAATCTATGATGTTTATATTCAAAATGATCATCATATTGTAAGAATTCCAGCAATGTAAATTATATTCTGGCCGGGTAATTTGTTTGAATTTTATGAGCTAAATAAAAAAATTATACTTCACCCGCGTATATGAGTAGATGCACCGCGTAAAGTGGGAATTCCGGTTCAGGGTACCGCATAAATGTAGAAAAGTGTAAACAAGAACCGCGTAAAGCGGGGTATTATTATATCTGAAGTGTCAAAGAGAATGGAACAGATACTGTATGGAGAAAGATCAAATAATTGTTAGAGGAACACAGAAAAATACAATATGTTTAAAAAAAGGAACATGATCAGAATGTGGGAAAAACTTAGGAGTGAAGAGATTGATAGGGAGGGAATCTGTCGGTAAGGTGGCACCGACCAGAAAATAGAATTGCAATATTGGAGATGATTTGTTGTGGTTGTGTACAAGTCATCTTACAGTAAACCAGCAATAAACACAAAATACAGACTCACACAATGATGGGACACACCATAACATGAAAGTCTCAGTTCTATATAGGTGAGGGAAGATGGCCATTATTAAACTACAGTATATCAAATGTTGGTAGAAAAAATTAATAAAAAAATGCTTTTCCTCGTGTTCATCAGTGAAAACATATGAATGTCTAGTAGAGTAATACTGAGTAGCATTGAAAACCACTGTCCACAACAGAGTAAGAGATGGCATTATTAATCATTATAAATGAATACTGTACTAAGAGATGCTACTCTCAGATAATATATTACTGTACAAATCTAAACATCTATGTGAGACAAGCTATGATCTTTACAAGGGATATTATTACTAATTACCAAAATTTCTTTTTGAGACTGTCAAGCACATGTAGGTTTATGATGCATGATAGCAAGGTGTCATCTCTCACCGTTAGTGGCTTGTAGTAACTCCTCTTTGGTCCAGCCATGTTCAGACAACAACAGTGATGTATAATACACAACATGCTGATGTGGCTGATCTGCGTTAAAGTTACGCAGGGCACGTACGTACTGATGGCAAGAAGAAACGGTAACATAAGATTTATTTTTTCCACTATGAAGGTAATTTATACATGCTTTTGCTTTTATAGTTTTAAAGGGCATAAAATGAAAAATTAATTTCCAATGCTGGAATCACATGGCCATACAGTATTAGGTAACCATGTAAAATAGAGAAAGACAGAGAAAAATGAAGGCCTGATCCCAAAATCTGATTTTACAACTGATCCTGGAAGGCAGCTGAAATTAAATTAGATCAGCGACTCTTCCTGTGACAACTATGACCAGTAAAATGGGGTATTAAAAGTCATGGAGCAGCCCTGCAAAACCAACCTCACTTCCAACCAACTAATAAGGAAGTCCCATGGAAGTAAGTGGGACTCCAGATGCTCATTCTTGGTTTGGATATAAAATAGTCTTTCAGGATTAAGCCTTCCTTTATAACCAAACGCCCATCTAGAGTGAGTTGTGTATCAGAAACCAGTTATAGAAAGGAAGGACGTGGAGAGAATTTCCAAGTGCTGTGTGATATGCAGTCCAACAGCAACTTTCATTTCACAAACTTCCCTTTACTACAGAGCTCTAATCCTGTTCTTGGCATTGGGAGAACTCCTATCTAGCCTATAACCTAAGGTTTGAGTCTCTGAGTTAGGAGCATAACATGGCTTTCAGAACAGATATCCTTGCGAGTCCAGGAGCCAAACAGTGCAGGTTGAAAGAAGACAATATCAACCATGAAATCCATGAAGCTCCTTGCCTAGATCTGAACCAGATCTAACTACAAACCTAAACTAAGCTAAGTAAAACCAATACCTTCAAAATCCATCTGTGTAAATTGTTTCCCTAACTAGGTGGACTGTGAGTGCCCCAGGGTCAAACCATTAAGCCAACCACTGGATCCACTCTGCCACATCCCATAAGAACTAGGTAACCCAGCCAAAAGCCTGTCTTAGTGCACAAAATTAAGGCCAGAAACTTTTTTTTCTAAGTTGTGGTACAGCAAAAAGACACGCGTCTTGTCTAGATGAGGAAGGTGACCAAGGTGATGCTGGTTCTGTAAGCCCATTCAATGATCTGTCTGTCAAGTAAATACCCCTGTATTGGATTGTGCATTGGTAATGTAACTTTATGACCTGTTATCCTTGGGTTTCTATACTCCCTTTATGGGCTATGGTTGTCACAAAAAGTAGGTTGATCTTTGTATTAGCCCAAGCTGTCTTTGTTTGGAGCTCTCTGGGTTCCAATCCCATAGGTTTTTCTGAACACATACCCAAGTAACTTTTTAAAGGATGTTAGGGTACATCATAAAGATGATTTTTTTTTCTAAAAATTTAGAATAACTGACTGCAATTTTTTATAAATAAATCATGGGCTACATAGTATGAAGAAAGAAAAGAAAGAAATACTGTATTTGAAGTAACACTTTAAGCCCCGGGTTAGGGTGCTGCTGGCAGTACCCCCCACGCAGGGTTAAATTGAGAAAAAAATCAACATTTCAAAAAAAAAAAAAAAAAGGCGGGAAAATAGGCGGACGTTCTGGAACGACACCCGGGGCGCGCCAGTCGGACGTTCTGGAACGTCACCCGGGGCCTAAGGGTTAAACACTTACCAATTTCATCCTAATTTAGTACTGTACCTTTGTGAACCTATTATGTCAAATGCTGCCTTCAAATGTCTCTTAAACACCTACTTTAATTGTAGATCATTCCTCATGTCCTTATAACCTATACTTCTCAATCTCAGGTTAACATTTATGCAACCTATTTTTCTGTTTCATGCCCTAAAAGATTACAACACTACTACTACCTTCAGTTATACAAACACTCTTATTCATTTTAGTTTGCTCATTAGAAATTGTGTTTGTCATCTGAGCCCAGAAAATGTAAACTTTATACTGTACTATCCTTTAACCCCAAAAATCTACCTGTTTTAGTTAATCTCAAAACACATGATTATCTACACCATATTTTAAAATGTCAACTTAACTGGTATCCATTAAGCTGTTTTTTAAGTTTTACTGTGCTTAATTACCACCGTGTAAGCTATCCCTCAAAGTTACACTCAGCTAGCAGATGTTCATTTCTTGTACTGAATTAATGTGGCTGCTTACAATAGTGTTGTACAGAATACTGTGCATGACATCTCAAATGGGAATTAATCCCCAAATTCTATTTTCTGGCAGAAGTCCTTAGTCAGGAGGCTCTTATATGCAGGATACATACTGGAGAGTTTAATTTCATTAGATAATTGCCCGTTATTTTAGCCAGGGTTTACCTGCTAACAAATTTAAGTAAAGGGATCACCCTTTACTCTCCAGCCCCAACAGGTAACAGTTGTCCTCTTGAGACAAAAGGCTTTCCAGTACCATGAATATCCAAAGTAGGCCAAAGCTGATAATGAACAAGGAATGTAATTTTAAAATTACAGATTGACTAGGAAAACAAAGATGGAAGAGCCTAACTTTGGCATACAATGTGATGATAGGATAGACACAGTTCTAATAAACTCTGTTATACTTAACCTGTCTTAGGGTGTGATGAAAGGGAAGAGTGACTTGTTTAGCAAAAATGGCTTTACAGATTATCTATAACTGACAGCATGGGGGGTTTGAGGCCACAACTTCCCTTATAAGAGCTGCCGAGGTAATGGGCACAAGCCAGAAAATGTCTAATTAAAACATAATTTTGGAATTTACAAATCTATGTAGCTCCCTCATTACATCTACTGTATTTTAAACAACTTGTTAAAACCCAGAAATGTCTAAATAAACAACTTACAGCATCTTTAAGAATCTCAAAGCGCTTGGGGTCGACAGTGAAGGTTGTCATGCGCTCCATAATCTTCTCCAGAAGAACGTGTTGCTTGTCGTTGTAACCTTTAATACTCAGCTGTAAAACACAATACGTATTGTACTATATATCTTTCAAAATGATGGTCATAATAGTTGGCAAATACACATATACTGTATACACCCAAAGAAAATCAAACAATTTACACAAAGTTTACTTGAATTGTCAAATTCACAAGCGAGTTTATATTAAAAAAAAAAAAGTATAACCCAGTCACTATTTACCTTCATGTTGTAGTGGTTTTATGAACTGAGTAGTAATCAAAAGACTGCTTAAAGTCTTGCTATTTCCTTTTCTCTGTTTGTAGGGAGGAACCAATTTAAGATTGACTGAAATGAGATATCAGGGTCCAGACAGACAACCTAATAACCCATCCACAACAAATACCAGCAAAACTACCTCATTTATGTGACACACAAGACAACAACTTACAGTGAGACCATATTTTGTATTAGAGAGAGAGTATGTCAGCCCAGCCAATTCAGCAGCATAAGTGTACTCGGTGAGGGCGTCACGAAACAGTTGGGCAAACATGTGCAGCAGGTTAGTGTGGTGTGGGTCTAAGTATGCCAAGGGACTGAAAGATAGAGCATAATTATCAGAAGCAGTGCACCCGGAAAAGGATTAACTGACATATTATGGTGATGTGAACAAAAAGAGAATGAAGCTAGATGTACCATAAGAGTATTCTTTAATTTAATGGTAAAGAAAAGATAAATAATGATAATGGATAAAAGTGAAGAAAACTTAAAAATATATACTGGACAAGGATATATAAGAATAAAAAAAGAGAAAATGAAACTAAGATAGAAAGACATTTAAATTTTGTCTGCACAGAGATGATGCTATATTCTTCAAAGAATAGAACTACTGCATATAGAGATAAGTATATCAATGATAAATTAATTTGTTTAAACTCAACAACACGACAATTAATGAAGATGATGTTTACCGCCAGGAAGTTTCAAAGGTAGTCAGGGACCATAACTATGGTAAATAAAGATTATAAAACTAATTTTCAAACTAAACCCAGACATTCATTTTAATCTGCAAAGCCTCTCTCAAGTTCCTATATGAAAATAATTTATACAGATGGACACAATCATCACTCTATTCCACTCATATTCTAAATTAAGTGTAAAACAAAAATCTATCTGTATCCTTTACTACGCTGCCAAAACACGAGCTTCTTGTCACTTCACATCATAATCTATCTACTTTCTCTTGCAACATCTTTACTTCAAAATCAATTCACATTTCAAAGTTCAAACTGGGTACTGTACTATTTCCCATCATGAACTTCAAGTACTGTGAATATCAACAGTATATTCCTTCCATTTCTCCTCCAACACGCAGCCCCAAGAATGTGCTCCCTTTATTGATTTACCTGCCTTAACACAAGCTCCTGTTGCTCACCTGAAAAGCTCTGTGTAGATGACAGCCTTGGGAAGTTTAAATTCATCATCTTGCTTATACCAAACTCTAGCCAGGGGAGTCTCACTGATCATCTCTGGTACACTATTGATTTCCTGAAAATAGTGCAACACATTAATGGTCAAATACTCAATGAAGAGAAAGTAAAGACTGGAAAGAATTACCAAAATAAATGCAAATATGAAATTATAGGAATTAATCAATCCTAAAACACATCTTCTACACAGTAAGGTCCCACTAAACGAGAATCTGGTTTAACGAACTTAGTGTTTTAGGGTATGAAAATTCAACGAACAAATTTCTATTTGATTTAATGAACAAAACTATAAATGAAGCAGCTTGTATTATCATTTGTGGAGTGGGGCAGGTCATTCTTTCTCACTGCACGAGTGGCCAGTTGGGCATGGGTGTCCTTGTATAGTTGTTTTCTATACTCTGAAGTGAGAGGTAAAAGTTGGTGGCAGGGTAACCCAGCCTGGCTAACCAAAGAGTCAAGACAACTTGGTGAAGTTTGTTGTCATCGTGTCCCCTACACCTGCTAACCATCTACACCTTCAACCAACAATGCTAGGTCAACTCTGCAACATTCATCTTCAGCTCTGGTAAGTACAGTATGTTAAAATAATGCTCAATTTTGTTAACTTAAGACTTTAGGGTCAAATTCTTTGGGCTGGAGTGCATCTAAATTTATACCATAGGGTTTTGGTTTGGAAATTTGGTGGTTCATACACATCATTACTTTTAACATGGGATCCCATGGGAAATTGGGTCCTCTTGAACAAGAATTTACCCAGCGAACACTTTTCAAAAATTAATATCACTCATTAAGTGGGACCTTACTGTAGATGATTCAGACAAGTATTTACAAGTATTCCTTATAAGCAAGATGATCAACCCAAAAGCAGTTTCAAATTTATATCAAGGCCATAAAAGTTTGCTTATCAGAGCTCTGTGTTTAAATTTGTTCTCTCTTATAAACAGCAAAAAAGTTACAGCAATTCTACTCATAAAAAATGTATTTTATATATTTAAAGATTGTGTTGTTAAAATACTCACAAACATTCCCCAACATTCACATATTCTATTCTACAGTATTTTCCAACAATTAACAGTAGTACTCTACCAGAACATTACCCAACCTACAGAAGCACTAGAACATTATCCAACAGACATCTGAACTAAAACATTAGCTAATACTCACCTGCACATCTTTAAAGAAGTCAAAACTAGAAGGCACAAATTCATTCTTTGTGGGTAAGCGTAAATGCTCATTACAACCAGTAGACTTCCACTGCTCCAGGAGGTGTGAATCAATGTCTTCCATCTTGTAGCATGTTCCATACCATTTTTCAGTGCATGTTACCTTGTCTGCCAGGGCTTTTCCTACAACAGCAATTCTGTGAAATGTTACGGAATACCCCTGTAAATACTTGTTCGCACATGAACAAAGATGTTAGTAAACAATAAGAAAATCCCCACAAGAAATATCCTTGGAAAAAAGAAAAGAAAGAGATACTTTGGTCATATACAAAGTGAAGAGTTGATAAAATACAAGAAAAATGAAGGTGTGTGGGCCAAGGGAAGGTGGAGACTGGGATGGATGAAGGAGGTTAAGAGTTGGGTCGCCTTCACTAAACAAATTTTTGCTTTATACATAACTTCTGCAGAACACATCCCTTTCATGCAGTGACGACTGACTGTATTCAGTTGTTCAAACCATTAAAAAAAGTGTACTTTTAAGGTTTCTTGAATTTTTTTTTTACTAAATAAGGTATCCACATTGGTTTATACATAAGTATATATGATACATGACTTCCAAAGATTGACAACATAATTCTGTACACTGCATATCATGGCATTGCAGGTACATAAAAATATAATATCTTTAATAACATAAAGTAATGAAACAAAGTTTGTCATCATACTGCCCCAACAGCGACCACTGTATCTTTTCACACATTTCCAAAGACAACTTGGTTTTGCAAGTGGCATGCTTGGTAAACATTAACCCATTGTAGCAGATTTTTTTACCAAGCTTGTTACTGTCAATAATTTCCAGGGCAGTAGGTGTAAATAATATTTAAGGTTACAATCTCATAATGACCTAACACTATGCATGCATAGTTTGAACCGAGTTGGCCAGCCTGACCCAATCGTCTGTTCTCGCTTATTGCCTTGCTAATGACATTGTAATTCTCACACACATAGAGGACTTATCAAAGGTACCATTTTACTGCACCTCAGTACAATAAAAAGTATTCAGTGGGTGTCAATACCTTGCCATAGCATTAGAAAAACATGTAAATACTTAATCTTTTCCTGAACATAAATTCAAACTTAAATATGAATACTTTTAAAAAATAGAATCAGATGGAATCAAATAATAAAACACAAAACAGTTTAAAACCGTTAATTATTGAAGACTAACCTTATGTTACCCGGGTTAAGATGAGCAAGAACCATGTCAATAAGGTCTGGCTTGAATTCACTGAGAAGGTAGCCACCACAGAGAACCTCATCTAGAGGATAATACTGAAACAATGAACAGTTATAGAACATATTCTCTCTGTCTTATCAAGAATGCATTCACTTTCAAAAACAATTTAATATGAAATTAGACATTCAAGAAGTGCAAATATGATTTTGAGTTTTAACTTGCATAGAATTGGTTTTGAGATACAGTTCTAGCATTTCACTTAATTTCCCTGTTTCCATCACCCACCCTGTAGTGTAACAGAAGATTTCCAGGAATAGACAAAAAATCAAATCTGCCACAAACAATATTCGTCATGGATTGATAAGTTTCACCAGCAGCATTCTTTAATATAAACATATTCCTTATCTTGGTGAAAACTTACTTACAACAGTGTTGCTACAAGTCACCACCATATATTCATTAATAAGAGGTGCAGATGTAACATGTGCCTCCCCCAGGATTGAACAAATCCAATCCATCAACACATGGAAAAAATTAACATAATATAAAATCACATCAAGAGTTGTTTCAACTGAAGCTACATATTTAAAAAGTTTAAACAAGCTTATACAGCATGCCCTTCAAATTCGCTGGGGTTAGGTTCTCAAAATGGCCCACGAAACGCCAAATCCGCGAGTAACGTTTGCTGACCCGAGGGGTGGTTACATTTTAACGTGTGTACAAAGAAATGAATATTCCCTTTATGTGTTTGCCCTAGGACAATTGTTTATTTTACCTGTATTGTATTATTGTACATTGGACACACACACACACAAAACACATATAAATAAATAATAATGGGAAAATCCTCACAAATACTTCAGAAATAAATATACAGTGGTCCCTCGGTAAACGAACGGTTCGATTAACCAAATTTTGGTTAACGAATTAACTCCCATAAGGATCTTCAATTCGGTTAACGAACAAAACTTCGATTAACGAAATCCTTACAAAACACACGTTTTGTTGTGAGCATCAGCTGATGGGCTAATCTGCCAATTCAGTAATCTGTTCTATGTTTACATTCGTTTCCAGTGGGGTAAATATCAAGAAAGTTGTGCTCTTTAATATTTTTTGCATTTTTTATATGAAAATTATTAGTCATTTTAAAATTGAGTTAACATATTGATATGATATGCAGTACAGGGAACTAGTTTTTTGTGCGCCCATCAGCCGCTTGACTCAGCTACCAGGCGTCAGTTTGGCTTTGTTGACAGTGGAGTGAACATCAATTTTGTTGGTGTCCTGAATATTTTTGCATTTTTACATTAAAATTATTGGTCATTCTGGAATTTAGTTAACATATTGATAATATATAGTGCAGTGCAGAGTTGATTTAAATAAAATAATCTTGAATTACACCTAGTGAACTTAAAATTTTATTGGTGAAACCACTGCATCAAGCATGGGGCCCCCGAAAGGTGATTTCTCCTCCATCCCCACTTCCTTCTCTTCTCCCTTCTCCACCCCCACTTCTAATTCCCATCATCATCATCAACCAGGAACCTTCTACATACACACCTCAAAGTAAGTGTACTTTACTACATTTTTTTTTACTTTGTATGTACTTTTCTGTGAGCTGGAACCAATTACCCAATATCCCATTGAAACAATGGATTCGGTTAACGAACAACTCTGTGGAACGAATTGTGTTCGTTAACTGAGGGATCACTGTATTAAAAAGGTTGGGTCTACCCTCAAGTCCACTCCGTGCTTTGTTAATAATATAGACGGAGTGGACTTGAGGGTAGACTCAACATTTTTAATACATTTGTTTCTGAATATTTGTGAGAGGAATTTCCCATAATTATTTATTTGTATGTGTCTCTCCACACACACACACACACACGTATACTGTATATACAATACAGGTAAAGGAAATTAATGTCTCCAAAACGAATGGCACCCTGTCGTGGCCGCAAAAATGCCAGAAACTTTAAAACTACCCTTAGACATTCTTGGGTACGTCCAGGGTGTCATCCGTGAATAATCGAGGTCTGCGAATTTAAAGGGCATGCTGTACATTTCACTGGCAAACAGGTCGATTACAGATTCCTCTCTAAGAAACTGCTTTAGCATTACTGTACTTACATGTAACTGTTCTGAGAGTCCACAGGTGTATGATTGGGGTCGTTCCTTATCTTTAAAACGAAAAGTCATACTGCTAAGATCTCGGCATTCGTCAAACACCCACTGCTGTGGACCTTCTTTTTTTAACAGATTCAGGTACTGTAGAAAACAAATCCTGATTACTATTATTATATCATCAATTTTATTATTCTTATTATCTGTCATCTGCCTTATCAACATGGTTATACAGTACATATGCCAAACCTAAAAAAAAAAAAAAAAAAATGGAGAGTAGAACCATGGGTTATGATACAGTGACACTAATATATTAATAAATGGAAGAATGAGATGATTATGAAGATTGTTTGGAAACAGTGGATGTATGAGACAAATTTCTAATATAATGGTGATTTAATCATTCCAACAGAGCTTATGGATATTTACCTGATCTGTGAAGTGCCTGAAGAGTGTAAATAAAGTAAGGATGTTGTAATGTAGATGTACTTACTCAAACTGTATTGATATGGGAAAGGTACAATTAAATGTAATACACTACCACTTGTATTAATGAAGTTGTTTTGAATCGTATCTGCCACCATTCAGAATGATTTAGGGTCATTTCTTGTCACATCGACCTTTAGTTCTTTTCTTTTTACACAATACAGTATGGCTGAAGACAGCTAACAGTAAATGAGAACACAAGAAAAGTGATAAGGTATGTACAAATGGTTGAGAGTGACTAATTAATGTAACAGGGAGTGAACTGTATCATAGGATGCAAAGATGTGGATATACTGGAGGTGAATAGCAGATTAGAAGCAACATATATTAAGCATTTGGAAGAACTTTACACTGTGAATAAGCTGTAAGGAATAAGAAACAATTATTGAATAGTATAAGGAGATGTAGAAATGAAAGGAGTGTCAGAGTGAGAGCAGACCATGATTTGCTTTGGTGGTTTGAATATACAGTACTGAAATAATAATAAGTGATAATCTAGTAAACAGAACATGACAGTATATGTCACCAGAGAACATGGTGCTGCGTGGTTCATAGTGTGGAAGTGAGGCTGATGTGTGATGCTGGATTACAGTATGTGAAATGACTGATAAACAAGTTGTACATCTTTGGATCTTGTTGTGGAAGTGGAACACAAAATGGCAACACTTGCAACAACACTTGAAGAAAAAAAATGAATGAGAGGGATGAAAAATGACTGTTGCTATTGATTTCACTTACTCTGAACCAGTGTTAAGAAAAGAGTTCCAAAATGAGAGCAATAATAATAATAATTGATAAACATTATTTATATCAATTTATGAAAAAAAAAACATACCTCAAACACAGCTGAAACTATGTCCTCAACGTGTTCAATTCCTTCTTCTGTCAAGTCTACATTTACGACAAAAAAGGCAAAGCCTTTAGCACCTGACTTTTGACCTCCAACCAGAGAGTTGACCCAGCCTCGTCCTTTGAGGTATGACAGTAGTGACCCTGGACCCTCATGCCCAATGAGGTGACCTAGGTAGTGGCCAGGCTGCAGGGGAAATTTTTAGATTAATGAGCTTCCCGTAGAGTAAAAGTGAAATACAGTACCCCCTGTATATCCATCTCATTAAATATCAGATTTGTTGCCAAGATCATTACCACAAAAATGAAAATGTCAAATCTTTGCTTAAAATCCAAAACTTATTTAAACTTCTAATTCCTCAATATGCATACTCTGGTTCTTAATTGCCTTCATGCCATGAGGGAGAGAAAAAAAATCAGACTGGACTCTTTACTCCAACTACAGTATACTACTGTACTGTACTACTACAACAAAAATGAATTCCTACAGTTCTCGTCACTATATTTCTAAAAACTCATAAATATTTAAAATATTCTTACCCAAATTTTTTACAGTAGTGAAAACAATCCCAAAAGATCAATACTATATCCTTAAACCTTAATACAAGTCACAAGGTTTGTAAATCACATGTCACAGATTATGACATTTAGGCACATGAATAAAAAGTCAATACAGTATACTGTACAGTACTGTAGTAGGGTCGCAGAGTATGCATATACTGTACATAGTACGTGACCCCGTTTATACGCATCTGACCCCTTGAACTGCCCTTACAAGATGGTGTTCCCCTTCACAAACAGTAACTCTTTAATCGACACTGGCCAGCCTTACTTACTGCTGTTTTGTAGTGAGGATGAAGATCAGGAATGGGAAAGGTGACGTATAAGTTACGAATGTCCTTGACGGGCACAACGTAACCTAACTTGCAGCACTGTTGAGGCCCAAATGGGTGGGTCAACCACTCAGGCACAGTCACAGCCTTATTCTCCACCCCAGTGAACAGCTCCAGCACCATAGCTTCAAGCTCATCTAAGCTTTCTGTTGATACATACAGGAAAATATTGATGAACATTACTAGAGCAATGGTCTGCCCATATTATGTGCACAATCAACATTAAGTATAATACTAATTATTTATTTTAGAGATCAATTACTGCACTATACTACAGGAATTTCAAAAAGTTGTTGACAAAAACTGCTCAGCTCAAAATAAAATGTTCAAGTTTCATTGATGTCTCCCCCAGAAGATTTACTTCATATTCATACTGTGTACCCTGACATACATGCATTTAGCAGCTGTTGGCCCTGAGCCACATACTTAATGTTGCCAGCAGATAAATTACTGCACCAATATAGAGAGAAGAGGAGAAATACTGCACAATATTATTATTATTATTATTATTCAGTTACTGGACAAGATATTGCCGAGGGTGCATGCAAGTTAACACCTGGTGATTAGTAAAATATTACACAAGTTTTCTGCCAAGGTGACAAAAACAAAGGCCGGTATTACTCAGATTTAAATGCCTATACTGTAGCCTAAAGTAGTTCATACTGTACAGCTAGGATAGCTTCATGACTCACCCTTCCCCAGGACAGCTAAGGCCATTATGTTAGAAGAATACCATTTGGCATGAAACTGCAGAAGGGCATCACGAACATTGACACCGTCCTCCTTGGGTATCGTGTCCAACGTCTCCTTGTTACCTGGAAGGTTTGAACATTTACAAATCAATAGTTTATTGAGAGAATAGACAGTATACTTAACCCTCCCAGCCTCGCACGATGCCATTGTGGCGTCGAACATAAAAGGCAAAAAAACTTATGCTCAGCCTCGCGACGCCAATGGGCTATATTTTCAAATAACTCAAAACTATTCAGTGAAACTGACTGAACTTTGGACACCATTTCAGACGTCATTTTCTTTGTGTGGGCCTTATCACCTTCCCCGAGACGGTCTTGGTCATCGTGTGCGTGGCAGCCCAGCATGAAGCCAGTGTCGCTCTGGCCATTAGAGCAAGAGGAGGGTGCACTGCTTGGCCCTTTAATTATTCCATGATTGTTTGTTTTATATTATTTTTCCTTATACCACAATATTCTACATGCTTTGTTTTTTTTATTTTAGTATATAGTACATATCACTGAACACCATAATACAAGGAAATTGTGAATGGAAATCGAGATGTTACTAAACATTTTTCCTACTTTTTCAACTTATACTAAAAAAATGTGGCTGAAATTTCAAGAATTTTCAATTTTTTATGGTTTCATACAATTTTATGCTAGAAGAGGCCCCATAGGTATGGTAGGTGACACAGAGGTATGGTAGGTGATACAGAGGTATGGTAGGTGACACAGAGGTATGGTAGGTGACAGAGGTATGGTAGGTTACACAGAGGTATGGTAGATGACACAGAGGTATGGTAAGTGATACAGAGGTATGGTAGGTGACACAGAGGTATGGTAGGTGATACAGAGGTATGGTAGGTGATACAGAGGTATGGTAGGTGACACAGAGGTATGGTAGGTGATACAGAGGTATGGTAGGTGACACAGAGGTATGGTAGGTGACACAGAGGTATGGTAGGTGACACAGAGGTATGGTAGGTGATACAGAGGCATAGTAGGTGATGCAGGTGGCCAAATATGCTGAGATCTTCCCAGATAATTTTAAATATCTCGACATTTCCCGAGTTATACTAATACATTCCAAGACCCTATCCATGCCAAGATATATGAAATTCAGAGTTATCGAGGGTTTATTGTACCGTATCAGTGCACCTCACCTCGCTACCTACACTTATTTTCATGAACTTTTATGTGGAGAACATATTGTCTTTAACATGGATACTTGAGGTAAAATTTAAAAAAAAATAATAAATTTTATGAAAAGAACACTTGCTCACTGAATACTGATTTGCTGTAGGCTTAACGAGAGCTACTAAGTACAGTATGAGAGATAAGACGCTTTGGGGATGCCGCCACTTTCATTATTTTATTTGGCTAACGCTGTACAATTTTATTCAGCTCAGATATACCCGTTCACAAGGGGTTAACATTTTTGGACGGGCCTTCCCACAGTTTTAATTTGCAAGGGTTTGCTGTAGTCAAAATGTGATTATTCTATTGTCTAAACCACATACAGTAGACCCTTGCCATTCTCGAGGGATAGGTTCCAAGAAATGGCGCGAATTGGGAAAACCGCAAATAGCAACTTCTACTATCTTAGTGCACTACTGTATACCTATACCAAACAACTGACCAGCTGCAGTAGCACTCATCCCCTCTTTTACCTTATAATAATAAATCTTTCCTTGTCAGGGTCATCACCGACATCTGCCTTTTACATTTCACTCCACTATCATCACTAGTCAGTCTTTTAGGGTCCACTTCACACAGAAACACTAAAGTTTTGAGAGTACAACACGAGTTGCTGCGTGGGGTGACTCGTTATGCTATGGGAAAAGGCTTGCAAGCTAGCCACCATCTGCTTACAGCGAATCGTCGAAATCGCGAATGGCAAGGGTCTACTGTACAGTATTGTCTTTTTATAAATTAACATAAGTGGGTAAACATTCAGATTGGAAAGCGAAGCCCCCAGTTGAACAGTACAGTAAAACCTCGAATAACGATAGTAATGTGTCCTCCAATATTGCAGTATAAGGTGAATCATCGTATCGTGAATCAATAATTACTATTAAATTAAAGCAATTATAATGAGATGCATTCCCTAGTGTTACCTTTTCATATCTTTTGTGTGGCTCTTTACCCTGTTTTCCTCTGAAACAATAAAATTAATGAAAAATGCAAACTATATTCTTTAAATAATGTTTATGAATGCACCTTATACAATATAAATCAATAATAATGTCACCCAAGAGGAGATGGGATGCCATTGTTGTTTTCAGTGTTTACACCTATGTCAGTTAGCCACCTGAAACTAAAGAAAATAAGACCCTGGTTGTTACAGTGGTAAAATTAATGTAAAAAATATGTATGTTTTAATTAATGTACAGTAAAAGGAACCACTGATGTTAAAGAAGAAAAAAAAAAAGAGTGACAGCGGAACGCTAGTGTGTATACGTGCGCCTTCAAGGAAACCGCATCATTTATCTTATTAAGAATATGTACAAAAGACTCATTATTGTTTATTACTGAATATGTATTTGATTGAATTAATATTTACATATGCGAAATGAACGATGCAATTCGTTAATAATACGTAGAATATTAAAACACACAAGAGGAGAGGAGATGGCATTGTTTTCGTTAATGTTTACAACACCTGTGACGAATGTCGATGGTTCTACATAAGAAACTGAAGAAAATAAGACCCTGGTTGTAGCTGTAGTAGAATTAATGCAAAAAAATGAATATGTATGTTTTAAGTAATGTTATTCAATGTTAATAAATGGAACAATAGACAAAGCTAACCATTAATGGTAAAGAAAAACCTAAATGGATTGGGAATGCCAATGTGTGTACAGTAAGTGTGTACATGTGAAAACATCGTCATTTCTCTACATAAGAATATGAAAGCACCACTTATTACTGTTCATATATGTTTTAAATAACACTTATGAATGTAAAACAAAAATTCTACTCACCAATGGTGGAAAGGTCTAAAATATAAGGACAGCCAATGAATATTATGTTTTTACTCAGATGACAAAGTCATCAGGTTCAACTCAGGCTGAAGCTGTAGCTTTCTATAAAGATGTCATAGCTGTTGCTGAAACTGTTACTGAACCTGAAGTTGTTGCTGAAGCTGCTTATGATGGTGTAGCTGTCGAAAGACCCTTACACAGCTGCTTTCTTTTCTCTTTATACATCTTTATGTAGAGGTCATATGCATTTTTCTCATTCCTGTTAATTTTAATGCTT